CTTATTAACCCCTCTTTGCCATGAGGTCCCAAGGCACTCTCTTCAACTGCCAATGTCCAAAGGCTGTGAAAGAGCCGAGAGAACCTTTTTTGCTAATCTTAACACCCATCAGGGTCTTGTAGGGAAGGACACAGTCTCTTTGGGGCCTAAGTCATTTTGGAGTTCAAACACTAATGTGAGCACCTTGAAAGGCCCTGGAGATGAACTGGCGACCAATGCAGCTGTTTTAAAACAGAGGTTATATGAATCTAGATGGACTGCTAGCTAGCATTCTGGCCACTGCAGTTTGAAGTTTCTAAGTCGACTGCGAGGGCGGCCCCATTTGACCATTTTGATACAGGATTCTTTCCCTGAAACTGCAGCATTCAAAGATTGGCTGAGAAGTGTCTGTCTTCTTTTGAAGTTTATTTGGATGGCAGTGGAAAGCTTGAAAAAAATATGGTTTGAGTTTACTTCAAAGATGAGATGACAGCTTCAAGGAATCCTTTCCCCCTGCCTCCTCTTGCTAAAGCAAAGCGAGGCCCTCATCTGGCCACTGCTACTTCAGGTTCAGTCACAACTGTCTTTGAACATTTTCTTCCTTTCTTTAAAGTGGTTACAATGATTCTAAATAATCTATCCCCTCGAGAGTGTTAGCTTAAAAAGGAAATAAACTTTGTGCGGCATAAACCAATTTCAGTGCTTTGCTGAGCCTAAGGTTATTTGTCTTTTGAATGGTAGTTTTCTTGGGTATTTAGCTTTCTGGTCCTTTTTGAAAAAGAGCTGTCGTCAACAGTCTCAATCTACTAGTTGTGTCTTTCTCCTGATGCTTCCAACCTGGAATGGCTAGATCCTGAAAAATGCCACCTACACATCTCAACTCTTTTAGGTTGCATTGCAATACAGAGTCTTTAAATGCAACATTTGAGTACCTTTGAGATATCTTTGTGTATCTGTTTTATGTGGGAATCTTGCTTGCGCAAAGCTTCCTGCAGCAAACATGTAAAGGGTAAATGACAGAGGTGCATCTTTAAATGCTCTGTGATTAGTTGAGAGTAGACCATTCTACTCTTCATTGGCTATCCTTTGCTTGCCACTTCCAGTACAGTATCATGCCCCCTTTTGCTATACACTTCAGTGTGTAAGAGAAAGAAAGAGAAAAGGAAATGGACATGTCCCTTCAGTCACTGAGTTTGCGGTCATGTGCACAATTATCTGGAAGTAAGCTCCATCAACCGTAGTAGATCTTTCATCTGAGTAAACATGTATACGAATGCACTATGAATCTTTTGAGATTCATTTGGACTATTTTAATCAGGAAGGAAATGTTGGTGTCCTATCACTATGTTCATAGAGGTAGTGGCTAGGGTGCTGCACCTAGACTAGGACTGCAATCTTGCATCAATTAGGAGGAAGCCCCATTGAACTCATTGGGACTGACTTCTGAGTAGACATGTAAAGCATTGTGTTGTGAGAATGAAGAGACTTCTTTTTTCATTTCTTGTTTATTTTAAAATATTTATACTGCTTCCCCAGGCAAAGGACACCCAAAGCAACTTACAACAATAAAAGCTGCAATGATGGGGGGAGAGAGAGAGAGAGAGAGAGAGAGAGAGAGAGAGAGAGAATCTGAACTGCATAAGACCTAAGAAATTACCCCATAGGAATCAATGGAAATCATTTACTTGTTATGTGACTGCTTGCCTAACAGATGATTTCCTGATTACACAATGTGTTCAGATCGTGAGATCTGGTGTATTGTCTTCTGTGGGATATCTTCTGAGCTCCAGGTGTATGACCTTAATTTCCTAAGTTGAAGGCCACTGACATTGCCTGGCATCAACTAAGGAAGGGAAATCTATGTATTTATTCCATAAATAAATCCATTGCTCAGGAATTTTCACATCAATTTACAATTGTGTAAATTGTATAAAGAAACTACTTTTAAAATAATATAAACTGTATTATAAGTAAATAAATTTCTAAAATTCCTTACTTATAAGCCTACCTTAAGAACATTCCTTTGAACATGGATTGTTTTATATATTTGTTTCCAATAGCTTTTCACAAAACATTTTACACAGCAATCAATAAACATAAAGAACAACTTATTTAGAATGCCTGCTGAAATTGAAAGGATTATTTTTAGATTATTCAGTCATTAGAACTGCACTGGAAGCCCCAATAAGCCAAATTATTGATTAGAAATAGTAGGCATTTTAAAAAAAATTATGACCAATTTACATTTTCTCGCTAAAGCAATATTCCAGAATGCAATTTATAACTGCAGGAATAGCTCCTTCAGTGGTCAAGCTTTTATATCATTTGGGCAACAGGAGACTGTGGCACAACAAAAACAATCTCATGGTATTGCTCTGTCCTTTCTCTTTCCATGCCTGAAAGCCTAACCACTGTGGTTAGTTTTTCTCCCCATGCCAAAATGAAGATATTGTGCCTTTTGTTGCTATGCCAACCAACCTTCTATTGCGTGCAGTATCTCTTAACACTGGTTGATATGGCAACCTTTCTCATTACACTTATACTCACCAAAGAGGTTGTTGGCATACTTATTCGCACCAAAAGGCATGCACTTTGGGAGGCAGCTTTCATTGTGCTAGAGACCTGCAAAAATGTTAGCGTGCCACTTGGCCTTCATTTGGAGCCAACACATTTTCCAACACTAGCTAAAATATGCTCTGAGGTGGGTAAAAGAAGTCAAAATTAACTGTCCTGCTCCTTTACTTAAAGAAGCACAGCAGAGATAAGAAATTGATTTAGCACTGACCTGTTACTATTCATAAGAAGCCCTTAACTATTGTAAACTTTCTTTTCTTAAAGGACCTGCAAACACACACACACACACACACAGAGAGAGAGAGAGAGAGAGAGAGAGAGCGCCTCCTGCCCACTATAAAGGGTAAAGAGACTCCTGACCATTAGGTCCAGTTGTGACCAACTCTGGGGTTGCGGTGCTCATCTCGCTTTATTGGCCGAGGGAGCCGGCGTACAGCTTCCGGGTCATGTGGCCAGCATGACTAAGCCGCTTCTGGCGAACCAGAGCAGCGCAGGGAAACACCGTTTACCTTCCCGCCGGAGCGGTACCTATTTATCTACTTGCACTTTGATGTGCTTTCGAACTGCTAGGTGGGCAGGAGCTGGGACCGAGCAACAGGAGCTCACCCCATTGCAGGGATTCAAACCGCCGACCTTCCGATCGGCAAGTCCTAGGCTCTGTGGTTTAACCCACAGCGCCACCCGCGTTACTATTCATAAGAAGCCTTTAACTCTTACAAACTTTCTTTTATTAAAGGACCTGCAAACACACACAGAACCTCCTGCCCACTATATAGGTAGCAAGGCAATAATCTGGGAAACTATGATGTTCATGTCCTGCAACACAGAGACTTTCAAAGTCTTGGGATAAAAAAGCTGATGGGAACATTTCCTCTTTAAAAAGGTGTATTCAGTTCAAGAAAGTTGAAAGGAAATATCCTTGTTCCAAAGAGAACAAACCTTGTTTCCACTCATGTTTATGTATAAGAGATCCTGTTACATATGAATAAATGCACAGGCACCTTCAGAATAGAAACATGAACCAAACTTTATTTAATAGACTTAACACTGTAACTCCCTGCTCTCCCCCCACCCACCCAATTTCTTGTAAGAACTTTTCTTTGTGAAGCCAGTTGCTAAATAAAAAAACAGAATATTGGGGCCATCTGTACTTCCTCATCTAAATAAATGTAATTTTATTCCAAATTGGAAATTGCTTTAATAAGTTGATAGGAGTTCCTTTCCAGTTTTTACAATGCTGATTGTAAAATTATTGAGGTTGTAGGATTTTCTATTTTTCTATAATGGGAGAGCCATGTTTTCTCCACCAGCTTTGTTATATAATTTTATTACACTGTGATAAATGATAAAACAAATATTTTATGGGTGGCATTGGGTGTGAAAAATACAATGTGGCAAAGTTTGGAGAGGTAAGCACAAGTGTTTCAGTATTTTATGTATTTAACTGTTTGTTCACAGAGTTGTATGGTTTTGAAGGCTACTAGTTTATGAAGTCAGCATGAAAGCAGCTTCATCTTCAGTTACTGAACAGGAAGCTCTTCTCTCCTCTTTCTCAAAAATGGGAATATGATGGAACTTTTGGGAAAGTACAAGATAGCTGTGGCGTGCCTTTCCTGCTATTTATTCTTTTTCCCAGCGACACAGAGTTCTTTTAGACTGCTTCTAGTTTAATCAAATTACTAATATTGCACTATAATGCAGTTTTGGTGCTACACATATACCTGTGGGTTTTAGTAATCTAGTTTTTGGTTCCAAATTACTTATTAGAGGCCAATAAAAATACTTTGCAATTTTATTACTACTAAAACCAAGCTTTAATTAAGCTATAACTGGTAGAGAATGCATTTGTTCCTATCCTCTACATCAGAAATTGCAGAAAACACCAGGGGGTATATTGTCCTTCTGACGATGCACTAATAGAAATTGTTCATGAGCACTGAGAGCAGAATATAACTGCTATTTCTCTGAACAGTAGTGACAATCATTCTCCACCAAAGATAGTTTTTCATCTTGCAGTATTGTATCGTATCCCCTGAGAAATTCATGTCTGATTTGGGATTCTGAAAAATTCAGATGGATGCCCAATTCTAGTGTAGCTTCTTTCCCATGCTTCTTTCTATGCAAGTAATTCCAAAAGTGTTCACACAGAGGCAAATGTTACACCACACAAGGCAGCAGCCCTCACACAAATTTTTTTTAGTAATTTACCGGTGCACATTTGAGGAAGAAAATAAAAAGTTGAATCTTTCCCTACACGTTTTCTTTTTAAAAAAGCAACAACCCAGTGACATTTCAATTACACAGAATCGCACGGTGATATGCAACAGAACTCAAATGTTGAACACAAGCTACGCTTAGAATGAAGTGTATCAGACAAAGAAAATGTACAAAATTGATTTCAGAAGTGTGATATATATGACTTAAGTTTCTTCTCTTCTCTCCACCAGGACTACACACTAACTATGTACTTTCAACAATACTGGAGAGATAAAAGACTAGCCTATGCTGGGATTCCTCTCAACCTTACGCTTGATAACCGAGTAGCGGATCAACTATGGGTGCCTGATACTTACTTCCTAAACGACAAGAAATCATTCGTGCACGGTGTTACTGTTAAGAATCGAATGATTCGCCTTCATCCAGATGGTACAGTGTTGTATGGCCTCAGGTATGTAGCAGCGTGATCGAGATTTTTCCAGTATTGGTTTTGTGCTGTTGACCTTTGTTCCCTTGGTGTTAAGTTATCATAGACCCTCTGCCACCTATTGTGCATCCTCTAGCGTTTCTCTAAAAGATTCCCCCAGACAATAAATGACGTTGCTAATACAGTGGTACCTTGTCACTCGAATGGCTTGGCTCCTGAACAAATTGAAGAAGAAGAAGAGTTTGGATTTGATATCCCGCTTTATCACTACCCGAAGGAGTCTCAAAGCGGCTAACATTCTCCTTTCCCTTCCTCCCCCACAACAAACACTCTGTGAGGTGAGTGAGGCTGAGAGACTTCAGAGAAGTGTGGCTAGCCCAAGGTCACCCAGCAGCTGCATGTGGAGGAGCGGAGACGCGAACCCGGTTCCCCAGATTACGAGTCTACCGCTCTTAACCACTACACCACACTGGCTCTCAACGCGGCTCCCAACGCAGCTTCCAATTGAGTGCAGGAAGCTCCTGCAGCCAATCAGAAGCTGCGCCTTGGTTTTCAAACAGTTTCAGGAGTCAAACGGACTCCCGGAACAGATTAAGTTCGAGAACCAAGGTACCACTGTATTTCCTAATTTTGCCAGGTTTTCTTTGCTTCAAAATTTAAGCTACCAACTCATATCCAAGTATCTATCAAACATTCATTTAAAAGCATGTGGTCTGTTGAGACTTGCACTCCAAGGTCTAGTCATGTGTGAAACTTAACTCCTCATCCTTCCTGCTCTTTTACCTCCCACCCCAACAGAGCATACATTCCCTCCTGTCTCTGGAGTTCTACATGGCAGTTCCCTCAGACAAACATGCCTTTCTGGTACCTTAATGCCATTGTGTTAGTGGGACAAGGAAAAATGTGTAATATATTTAATGTGGAATATCCAAAGCACTGATAATGAATCACAAGGTAGAGCGAAACTCCTATTGAAGTCACCATGTGGGAGGCTGCTAGTTAGGGCTGCTATCCCATGAATCAGTTCAGTCATATAGAGAGTCTCCATATCAGTGCCAGCAGGGAAGCTTTCAGTTGATCACACTGATTCATATGATAAGGAGCAGTGCCCAGGAAAGCACATGCCTGTAGCTTGTGAGTATGGTGGAAATAACTCAAACTGGGCACCAGTGTTGGGTGAAATCAGGGCACAAATTTATTGACTAAGCAGCATGTCAGAATCTGCCCTTACTCACCTCCCAAGTCAGATCAGAGTTGTTTGTACTAAATGTTCATTGATTCAGTTCACATCAAATGCTTCATTTTCAAAACATTTTCACACTCCACACTCTCCCAAAAACCCCTGGACTTGACAGATTGAATTCATGCTGGAGGGTCTCCTCTGTAAACTTCACTCACTTTGACCAAAGAGGATGGAAATTACACAGAGAAACACAGAGCTTCATTGTGTACAGTGTGGCTTAGAATTCAAAACACAGATCCAAGTGGACAGAGCGACTCAGAAACAGATTGGAATGTGTTTTTAAAGTCACAGATACTGATACAAGGGGGGGGGGAGCATGCACACCTTTATTTGAGATTATGAGGCCTAACAGCTCCCCAGCCTTCAAGCAATAAAATCCACGACTTCCCTAACATTGAAAGAGGAAGCTGTACAATTCCTGAGCTTCCCCCCCAAAAGATAGAACGATGCAAACCCTGAATTGGTCCAAAAGCATCAAGCCTGAGAAACTACCCAGTCTCAGAAATAAGAAACTGTGTTGCTTGCTACGGTCTTGTTTGTGAAAGGAGCAAGATATATGAAAAACACATTCCATTTTAGCAAAAGCAGGATTTGTTATGTTTTCATTCCTGCTCATTTCCCAGAAAAATATGAGCGACCCAGAGCCTCTCTACTACTGCCTCAGTAGCCAGTGCTATAATACCACGGTGTTGCATGCCACCCCAATATCCAAGCGCTGCAAGATTCCAGGGGTTCCAGGTTCTTACCCAGGATTTGTGTTTCCTTTTGGCAATGAGGCACAGCAGAAACTATGGTGTCTTTAAGAGCTTATGCTGGAGGGGTTCACAGCATGAACACCCCAAAATGGGTTTGTTTCTCTCATAGCCACAGCCTTAAATTCAAACAGAAAGCAAATATTGCTCTCAAATGTTGCTCTGGTTCTCTCTCCAGCTTGCTGCTTTACTTCTAGGTCACATCACTGCTCCCCAAACTCTCTACTTTCAATTGTGGCTTTATCCATTGAGCATAGCTGTCAACGTTTCCCTTTTTTTAAGGGAAATTCCCTTATTCCGAATAGGATTCCTCGCAAGAAAAGGAAAATGTTGACAGCTATGCCATTGAGAGAAGGGGCCTCACCCGTCTGCCATCTTGTACCAAGCCCCTTAATCTCCCTTAACACCCTAAATTCCCCTTAATGACTCATCACCCAGGTTTATCACCTCACCAGGAGGGTAGCCTGGCTATTCCAAGAATCTGAAGCCTGGATTAAATTCTAACATTTGTTAGATCCAAGGAGAAGAGGGGTCTGGCACCCAGGTTAACAATGTCATACAATAGCAACATTTTGTATATAGACCAAAGCCCAACAGCAGCAGTAAATAATGACTCAATGTTAAGTTGCTCATGTCATGCCAACCTTTAATTCAGTTCAACAAATAAACACAAGCTCTGAAGAATAATTGCTGAAAGCAGCAAATCTCTTAAAGAAAACAAATGCTTACATTATCTCTTCAGATTGTAAGAGCTAATTCCATTCTATCCGCAATTTAGTCTTGGAATTTTATTAAACATGTCGAGTAGATGCAAATTACAAAGACTTCTGTGAAAATTAAATCAGCTCAAGGGTATTTACTTCAAACTATTTTCAAGCACTAGTTTGTTGTATATGTCTAATTATATAACTAATAATATTAATCTAAATGATATGAAACTGTGACATGTTGTACAGAGTTTAAAATAATAATATAAACCTTACCAACAGCAGCTTTGAGCGTTGCTGCTATCTGCAAATTCAGCCAGTACACTACTTGTATGCATGTTGTTCTTCAAACATGGCATGTCTTGCTACTTGAGTGTGGAAATTCCACTCATTGTGCTGGTGTAAGACAGTTGTGGCACTTCACAGCTTGCTGCTGGTGCCAGACTGATTCAGAGCCTCCCAATGGCTGATGGGAGACATTGCGTGGCTATTCCCTCCCCCTCCACAGGTGGAATAAATAAAGACACCGGACACAAGCATTTAGGTTAATGGGCGAAAATGGCCACAACTTTATTGATTACAGGTAAGAGGGGTATTGGCTTTAGGCATTGGCCCTAACAGACTATCCGGACTAACCGGGAAGGGTTAAGCACCAACAGGGGGAGCCCCCGAGATGCATATCCCTAGGTGCTCCCCAAGGGGTTACCGCTCAGGGGCGCGCTTTAGGCCCTAGCCTCCGTAGGTTTCAGACGAGGCGACGCCCCTCGGAGTCCTTTAACGAACTACCCTTCAAGCATTGGGGGAATGCTGAAGAGGAGAAAAGGGGTGAGCCAGGGCTGCCCCGACCTTAAGTGGCCTCTGGACAGCCCACCCCCGCCGCCAGCCGATTGGCTGGCGCTGCGGGGAATGCAAATTAAGGGAATTCCTGCTTCCCGCGAGGCTGGCGACGGCCCTGCGGGGGTGTGGGCGGGGTCGTGAGCCCGCAACCCCCCCTGAAGTTCGGTAGTGGCATTCCCCTCAGCCATGGGGAAATCAAATTTTACCCCTCTCACGATGTCAGCCCAATTGTGGGCAGGCTTTAGGAGGCATCAGCAGAGAGAGCGGGCAGAGCCAGGTGGAAACTTGGTGTTGTTTCTGCTTGGGTCCGCTTCTTTGGGATTTAAAGGGGCCTGCCTCCTCGCCTGGCAGTGCAGTCTGCATTGTGAAATAACAATGCATTCAGATGCCTGCACTTCTTTAGCAATTTCTGAAGACAGTCACAACAATTGCAATTAATGGAGATTACCTACTTCTAGGTGCATGCAGGGCAAGAGATTTGTTGTCGTTTAGTCATGTCCGACTCTTCGTGACCCCATGGACCAGAGCATTCCAGGCACTCCTGTCTTCCACTGCCTCCCGCAGTTTGGTCAGACTCATGCTGGTAGCTTCAAGAACACTGTCCAACCATCTCGTCCTCTGTCGTCCCCTTCTCTTTGTGCCCTCCATCTTTCCCAACATCAGGGTCTTGACTATGCTGCTCCTTCCAAGTGTGCAAGCTTTGCAACATTTTATATAAACAATATAGGAGTATAAGGAATACAGGCATATAACTCAAAACCACAGAGAAAAGCATTGTACCATAAGTATTTAAAGTGTGTTTGCCCACATATATTCATTTTAAAATGCATGCAAATGCACGATAAAGGCTAGGAGCTCCCTTGATTTATTGAAGCAAATCATTTTATATTTGTTTGCTTAAAGAACTTGATGCAAGCAGAAAAGCTCAGGTCTTTTATTTGTCCGATGCACTAAGCTGGAACTGCTTGCAAAACGATTCCACTTCTTTAACAAATAAATAGGATTATATAATTACCAGAATGGTGCATTTTAAAACAAGCTTGGTTGCCCCTTAGCTTAAGGTAGCATGCTTTTCAAAAGGGGGATCATTTGGTGTTACTTGTACATGTTAAGTCACAGCTGCTGCTGTCATACTGGAGAAATACAGTCTCCCTGTAGTAAATAGTCTTGAGCACCTTGCCTGGGGAATTAGCTGGGTGCTAGCAGATGTTTGGTAAAAAGGAATTCATCCCTGAAGCCACAGACCAGCTGCAAAGGCACTCTTCAGAAGCTGCTTCAGTCCTTAAGAGTTTTGTTAATTTTTTTATCCTGCATGCTATAATGTGAACCCTTGAGAAATCTTTTGCAGCTTTTCCTCCATCACCCCAATTCATCTTCCATTTGGCTGATCAGTCTGTTTCCCCTCATTCAATGAAACGGTTTGCTTTGAACTTCATTGGACAAGTTTGCTGACAGACTCCATAGCAAGCTCACATGATCAAGCAAAATTTCTAAGTCAATGCATAAAGCATTATGTTGAAGCACTTGTTTAAAAACCACACGTTAAGGTTGCAACTGTGCACCCACTTATCTGGGAGGATGCCCCATTGAATTCAGTGGGATTTGCCTCTGAGTAGGCATGCTAGCTGAACTTCCGCATGATTGTTGGTTATAGTCTTCTGTGTCAAATCAGTTTGATCCTCAACCTGCATGTGTTATATTAACAAATAATGTTATATTAACAAATAATGCTAACTTTGGTTCTAAGTAGCACTGTGTTGTGATGGAGATAGCATGGAATGTAGAAGTTTTCTAATCCAACCGAGTTTTGCCCACATTGGACCACCTCTTGCAGCAAGTGTCAGCCAGTGTGGTGTAGTGGTTAAGAGCGATAGACTCGTAATCTGGGGAACTGGGTTCTCGTCTCCGCTCCTCCACATGCAGCTGCTGGGTGACCTTGGGCTAGTCACACTTCTTTGAAGTCTCTCAGCCTCACTCACCTCGCAGAGTGTTTGTTGTGGGGGAGGAAGGGAAAGGAGAATGTTAGCCGCTTTGAGACTCCTTCGGGTATTGATAAAGCAGGATATCAAATCCAAACTCTTCTTCTTCTTCTATATCTTGGCCATCTGTGTATTATTTTAAAAGCTCAATTATATGCAAAATTATACACAACCCCACCATATATAGTAGGTTTAAGAGTCATGCCCCATATGGTACTCTATTCCTGCATCATTATTTTATAAATAACAACACAGAAGTAATTTGTATAGAGTTATATACATTGTTGCATGTATCTGTTTATGTATCTATTTATTTACTTTAGGAAACCTGGAGCGTATATGTGTATGATATACATGTGATATGCAAAAAGGAAAAAAAATCATGTTTTTTTGTGGAACTGGTAAAAAAATAATTTGTTTCTCATTGAGATTAAGGAGTAAGGGATTAGAAAAGGAAAACAGTGGTAGATAAACTTGACATCAAGGTTTGCAGAAAATTCCAGGCCTAGTACTTTGTTCAAATCTGTGTTCCAATTTTTCAAAACTGTTCTTCCCCTGAAAAAGAGGTTTCCATTTTTTCTGCCCCACATTTTAGAATTTCAGTGGGTGCATCGTTTTGAGCTTACCTCATTGTTTTGAGGGGCGAGGTTCCTAAACTAACAAGGATAGTCTTTTATTAGCATTGTACCTTGTCCAAAATTACCGTTAACGTTTTGGATATGGCAGAATAAAGAACTATTTAATGAATAAGTAAAAACAGAGTTGCCATGTATCTGTCTGTGCTGCATTTGGCTGTGCAGAAATAGAGGAATTAAACTGGGGTACAGTACTGGATTCGACCAGGGAGCCGGATCCTTATCTTCTCCACCCCTCATGGTCCAACTGGTGCAACCATGGTGCAACCACCCCTTATCAAACTCCTGAAGTCACAGTGATGTCAGAAGATTGACACTTGTTAAAAATTAAAGGGGTGGGGAGCTCCTCTGCAGAGAAAGTAGCTTGTGTTCAAAGTGCATCCTCCAGTTCTTTGAATATGGGTAGCTTTATGTGAAAAGAAACGAAAAACACTTTTCAATAGAAGGAAATTGGGTTCAAAGTCCTGGAGGAAGCGCTTTGAATCCTAGCTGCTGCTTCTGGTCCCTCAACTGCACCAAGGAGTTTCTGAAGGGGAGCTCCCTTGTGTAATTGATAACTTGCTGATTATCGGGGCTTCAGCTGTGCAGGGTCCTCTTCAAGCAAAGAAAAGCAATTCGCTGTTGGTGCTTTCAAGGAGCCCTGCTCTGTGCTTTGAAGTCCCAGGAACCAGCTGATAGGTGTCCACAAACTCCTCTTTGTCCCAACCACATCTACCCGCCCCACATAGGATGAAAGGTGCAGGACAGGTGAGCATGGCTTTGCCCAAATATCCTGGTGAGACAAATGGGGAGCCCAGTGGGCCACAGGCTGCCCACCCATGAGCTTAGTCCTAGTGAAGGAACAGCAAACGATTCAGTACCTCTCTCGCATTACTTATCAGTTCCTGTTTTTCTTTTCTTTTTAATGTTATATTTATTTAAGGGACTGTTGATTTATTGCTCTTATAAAGTTCCTGTTGTTGCATTTTGTTTCAGAATTACAACCACTGCAGCTTGCATGATGGACTTGCGAAGATACCCATTAGATGAGCAGAATTGTACACTGGAAATAGAAAGCTGTACGTACACATAAAAGTACTTGCTTTACTAGATTCAGTTGTGTGGAGTATTTTAGCACAAATTATAATAATTTTAATTTTGCTGCTCAGTTATTTATTTGGTTTCCCGTTCACATTCATGCCACATACTGAAGACTCAGGATGGTACCAGGGCTGGCATAAAGGGTTGATATTGTTAGGCATTTATTGAAGGCTGCACCTTAGCAGGGGTCCGCAGGCAAAATTCAGATCCCTATGCCCTCTTCTATGTCACTGCCTCATCAGCTGCCCTCTCCAAGCAAGTGAACAGTGATGGGGCAGTCACTTGACTTCTCTCTCTCTCTCTCTGGTTGGTGGTATGGATTGGGCCCAGAAGGGCAAGGCAAATGAAAGGGCAACAGCATCAGAGATGAAGAGGAACAGTTACTGTGAAAGGGAGGCCCCCTGAACACACACACATGGAAGCTGACACTGATAGGACAACCTAGGACAAAATATGAGTTTCTTAATATTAAATCTGTTGCATATGATGCAGGCAAAACTAGGTACTTTCAGCTTCTGTTTATGCAAATCAGAAGGTTAATCGGGTGCTTAAGTTCCCCCCATTGAAATCACTGCAACTTAAAAGTGTTTGGTTTTTGTTTGGATCATGGCCACTGTATTCCCTCGATTTTATTTATTTATTTTGATATATTTTTTTGCAGGGATCTTTTCATTTTCATATGTAGAAAAATAAATAAGTACATAAATACAGTAGCTAAGTTGCTATTATTTGTGGGCATTAAAAAAAAAACCCAACCCCAAAGGCATGGAAAATATAATGCCGTTCTGATTAGGCAAGAGCAATGACTGGATGCTTATCTACAACACAAGAGAACTAGTGTTCATGTTTTAATCAGATTCAGTTTGAGGAAAGCAAGCACCGAGATTCAATTTGCTTTCAGTGTGCTTTATTATGGATGAGTGATCTTGCTATGCCCCCCTCCCCCCTCTTGGGCTGTCAGATAGACCTACTTATGATTAGAAGTTCGGCTTCATGTAAGAAGTAGAACCTCTCTCTCCCCCATCCAGTTGTTTTCCGTAATTGGAGTGCTCATATCATTTAAATTTGTATTTCAAGAGCCATCGCTTTCTTCTACAATGCAAAGGGTATAAGGAATTTCTACACGCCTAAAATATCAATACACGCTAATGAACACTTTTGTGTAAATTACGCTTGGCCTGCTACCACTTTCCTGTTGAAGTTACGGGAGTTTTGCCATGGATTTCAAAGGAAGAATTAGGCCATCTGCCTCAAATTTTTCTCACAGCACTTCTAAAGTCTCTTTCTCAACATTTTTCAGTACAGTACAACTCTAGCATTTTTTTAGAAAAACAAAATTTTAGTTCTTCAAATAGTAGTGTTTCAGGATACATCTATGTCATTGTTATTTAAAGGACTGAATATTCTTTTTTAGTGCATCCAATCACTTCAGTACATGCATGCCAGGGTGCTTCTAACTTCCCTGGCACTGGTAGTGGTTACATTGCTGACATTGTAAGGCTGGCATGAAGACTGGGTTATTTTCATCTTGCTTTCAGTGCAGATTGTGCTAATGAAGGTGGGAAAACTCTGTTTTTTAATGGTCCATTTCCAGTGCTCCTGGTTGTGCTTCAACACAGAACCACAAGTATAAAAATCTGAAGCACAGACCCTCTGGGCTCACCATTCGAAGGAGATTGGTCTTGATAGAAAGAACATCTCTATATCTAGGGTTGTGCTCAATACTTAGGGGGGGGCTGCAAAAGTAGTCCCTCAAATCATAGACATTTGTTGTCATCCACTCTTGTCCGTGGCTTCTTCATTGTTTGGTCTTTAGTCCTGTAGGTCCCATTTTTATAGCGTCTTCTTCACATGGGTAGCATATATGCCATTTATTTAAATCACATTCGCCTGCCCTCCAAAAATAATCCTGGGAATATTAATTTTCTGCAAATTGTAGTTCAGTGACAGGTGAGGAACAGTTCCCATGATTATTGGGGGGGGGGGTGATTTAAATGTGCTTTAAATGTATGGTGTATATGTGGTCACAGGTCACATGATCCCAGCCAGTCAAGGATTGCATGATGACGTAATGTCCCTATTTAACCAATAAGATTGACCATAGATATGACAACATCACATGGCTAATTCAGAGTTAGGACAATGCTTTCTGTTCTTACTCTGAAGTGTTCCTAAAAAGAACCTCCAGTTTTAAGTCTTTTTCTTTTTCTTTTTCTTTTTTTTACTATCTGTAACTTTAAACTTATTACATAAGACATATTATTTTTGGAGGTAAGTTCTTCAGGTTGTGCAGGAGCTACCATATAATAAACATCTATTACTATGGCATCAGTTCTTAGCATGAAGCCAAGAATGGGATTTATTTATTTTTGTCCCTTTAAATATAAACAAGAAAATAAGGATAGATGACACATCTGATGGGCAGTTGTTCTCATCCTGGCAGCTGACAGATGTTTCAATTGGATCTAACGAAAAGAGACAGAAGTAGTGTCTAATAGGCCCATGGCCAGCTTATTGGTTTCTGAGGGATTGACGTCTGTAGTAGCCAGATCGTTGCATCACATTTATTAGCCAACAAAACTTGGTAAGATATACACACATGGCTGCCCCTGTTCTACTTCTTAAGAGGGAGTGAATTCGTTGCTCTTCTGGGGCAATGAAGACTCAAACAAAATTGTGCCTTGGAGGAATGCTGTTTTATTTTTTGAGATTGTTGTTTATGGTTGTTATCTTGTAGTTCTGTATTGCTTGTCCTCTAACAATGGTCAGTTTTACATTTAAGCACCCATGATTCTAAAGCATTTGTGCTTTGTTGACAGATGGATACACAACAGATGACATAGAATTTTACTGGCGAGGTGGGAATAATGCAGTCTCTGGAGTGGAAAGAATTGAACTTCCTCAGTTCTCTATTGTGGAACACAAACTTGTGTCCAGGAATGTTGTCTTTGCCACAGGCAAGTATTTCCCATGCTTTGAATGCTCAGCATCGTTGGCTCTCTTGCACATGCCCATTTTTGTCTCTATATGGCCACAGAGGTGACAAAAACTGGGTGGCCAGATCATAGTTTTGAAAATAAAGGACACTGGTGTTATAATGACTGGAATAAAAGACAACTGAGACATTCCATGTTTTTGTGATGGTCTAGAATAAAGGATATAAGTATGAACATCCCAAACTACTGTAGGGCTTGCAGGGGTGGGGGTGGGATGCCTTGGCAAAGCAAGACTGCCAACCAAGCACTTTAGAGGCAAAGTCCTTTTACTTGGTGATTTCAGGGATTCGATATGAAAACATTTTGCAACATCCTACCTACCATTAATGCTGCAAATTATCAAGCATACAGAACAGACAGTTGGGCATAGTAGTATTGAAAGTAAGAATAATAAGGGTCTGTAAACAAGAACAGGGACAACACTTAAAGGTCAGAAACTGACTGAAATGGTACAGCAAAAATAATTTACTCAGAAACAGCTTCATGAACCAAGCCACTAGTCTGAATTTTCCTGATTAAATTATTTTAGGAGCATTGCCTGTATAGTGTTAACCAAGCTAATGGATAAACATAGTAATGGAGAAATAAGTATTGATCCCACCCCCCCATAAAAAACATTTCTTTTTTTTTAATTATTAGGTTTTTATGTCAGGTTTTTGTTCTAATTATGAGCACTGTAACAAGTCCTGACAGAATTCACTATTTTGATAAGTGTTTTTAAGATTTAGGGTTATCTAATTTAAACATCCATGAGCTGGGATCAAGGGGAAGAAGGCTATTCCACCATCTTGTGGAGATGATGTCACACACACACACACACACACACATTTACAGTAATATGTGAAAATTATTTTGTAAATGTAAATTAACTATATCTCTGTTCTTCACAAAATTTCAAAAGGTAACCAGATAGGTGTTCAAGAATCATGACATATTTTCTCTAATATGCATTAGTTTTAATGTGAACTCACAAAGTGATTTTTATTCAAGGTTTTATAGGTAACAAAACAGCCCATCAAATGTGTTTTTGCTTCTGTAGAAGAGAAGCATATTCTGCCTTTACTAACATCACCAAGGTACCCCTGCCCGTACGGGCCAGTCTTGACAGACTCTAGGGTTGTGCACTCATCTCACTCTATAGGCCGGGAGCCAGCGCTGTCCGCAGACACTTCCGGGTCATGTGGCCAGCGTGACAAGCTGCATCTGGTGAGCCAGTGCAGCACACGGAAACGCCGTTTACCTTCCCGCTAGTAAGCGGTCCCTATTTATCTACTTGCACCCGGGGGTGCTTTCGAACTGCTAGGTTGGCAGGCGCTGGGACCGAGCAGCGGGAGCGCACCCCGCCACAGGGATTCGAACCGCCGACCTGACGATCAGCAAGTCCTAGGCGCTGAGGTTTTACCTACAGCGCCACCCACGTCCATATATATATATATATAAAACTAACTGTAATTCCCCTCGTTTTCTAATAGGTGCCTATCCAAGACTGTCGCTGAGCTTTAAGTTGAAGAGGAATATTGGATACTTCATTCTTCAGACCTACATGCCCTCGATACTGATTACCATTTTATCATGGGTGTCCTTCTGGATCAATTATGATGCATCTGCAGCAAGAGTTGCTCTCGGTATGGAATGAGGATGAATGGGGCATTACCCTGTCATATCCATGTAGGAGGTTGTTACAACAGCCACATATTTAAGCACAGGTCACAAAGGATTGCATGCAGATGGGTGAGTGGACTGGCACAGGAGGGGTGGAGCACTTTCCAGAAAATAAACAAGCTGTCAGAAGAGGGAAGTCCCCATTTCCACAAGCAGTGAAGAAATGCAGTAAGTTGCTACAGCTACAGTCCCCAGCAGGCGAATAAAGACTTTTCGCAGGCTGAGCTCTTTTGCAATCCTGTGTTAGAGCTTGCCTCAGATCAGAAGTGGTTTGCCCAGTGGGGTTGGAGCCACAGCAGTAGCCTCCCAGCAGCAAAGCAATGCTGATTACTGGTAGCAGGACGTAAAAGACAGTGACAAAGTTGGGGCTGCATAACCAACAGAGCCAATCCATTGCTCACACCACTGTATGTACACAGCCTCAATCTTGCCACTGCTTCACTCGTCCTGGTAAGCAGTAGTGGCTCCGTTCCCTTTGCTGCTGAAGCAGTTGGGTGATGCAAACGGAACCGAGCCGAGAGAAGGTTTCTGAAGTCCAAGCCCTTCTCTGATTATCAAGCTGGCTTTGTGGGGGAGGATGAGGAGGGCAAAGGAATATATAGGCCGCTTTGCTTCCTCTTCTTCCTCCCAGTTCCTCATGGATTCTCCTTTGTTACATACGTTTACAGACATGGGGTAACCCAGAATAAGATCAGCACTGAATTGCATGCAGTCCCATTGTCCACTCTCAAGTGCAAAATGCCTGCTGTTGAAACATCAGTAGTTTTCCAGCTATTATCTGTTCAAGGAACTGTTTCCATATGACCTGCAACAGAACACTTGTGCTTTTAAGTGGGTTCTCAACAACAGCAACAATTTTATTATTTACACCCTGTCCATCTGGTTCTAAAGCACACATGCCATTCACACAGGACTCTTGCTAGAGCTTTTGAGTTTCACCGTTGCTCTATGTGCATCCCAGAGCACTCTTGTTAGGGTACACATTTCAGATAGAATTGGTGGGCCAGCCAACTTTTGCCATTACCATCCTTTGTATAGAGATACCCATGATCCACCCTTTGAAAAGCACTGGGTTACATCAGTTCCCTAAGCTCAATTAATTACAGTGAAAATCCCCTTTCTAGCTCTCCTTTATATCTCCTTTCATCCTTTTTAAGGAATTTCTCATATCACAATTTTCTTTTAGGTCCGGAGAAAGTAGTTATATAACAAATCATTTATAGGTATTTCAGAAGCAAACTCTTCAGTAAAGAAACTGTCTTACTCCAAACCACTTTGGTTGTAATAGGTCAGGCATCCAATAAATGTTGTATAAGATCTCTTTGTGGAATTCACAGAGCTATGAAACAAAATACGAGGTCCTTGAAGGGAAAGGCAGAATATAAATGTAATAAACAAACAAATAAAACAATAGCGTTCCCTCTCTTTATTTTGCTGACTCTTCCACAATATCAACAAGCTCCTGGAAATGGCTTTTAAGGGGAAATGCATGAAAGATCTTAATATGCTTACATTTCTTCCCGTTTTTAGGCATTACAACTGTGCTTACTATGACAACGATCAACACTCATCTCAGAGAGACTTTGCCTAAGATTCCCTATGTCAAAGCCATTGACATGTATCTCATGGGCTGCTTTGTATTTGTCTTCTTGGCCTTACTTGAATATGCTTTCGTCAACTACATCTTCTTTGGAAAAGGCCCTCAAAGGCAGAAGAAACTTGCAGAAAAGACGGCCAAAGCAAACAACGATCGCTCTAAATTCGAAAGCAACCGGGTAGGATTATTCACATCATCTACTAGCCTGTGTTGTTTTCAGTTCCAAAACACCACTATGGATCAGTAGGATTAAGTGTACTTACCCTCCACGCTAAGCTGTATCATTGGCATCTGTAGAAACCGCAGCCACCTCCCTCCCTCCCTCCCTCCCTCCCTCCCTCCCTCAGTATGAATAGACCCTTAGTCACATAAAACACTCCCAGTACACAGAGAGTGCAGAAAGGGAAAGAGTGAGCAAAACATGGTTCTGGTAGGCTACAGGTTCACATACTTTATTACCATAAGCGAAATCGCTAGTTCAGGATTCACAGGCCTGGGAACTTCTCTTCCCATCACTAACACTTAATGCAATGTAAAGGTAAAGGGTAAAGGGACCCCTGACCATTAGGTCCAGTCGCGGACAACTCTGGGGTTGCGGCGCTCATCTCGCAATTTATTGGCCGAGGGAGCCGGTGTACAGCTTCCAGTTCATGTGGCCAGCATGACTAAGCCGCTTCTGGCAAACCAGAGTAGCGCACGGAAACGCCGTTTACCTTCCTGCTGGAGCTCTACCTATTTATCTATTTGCACTTTGACGTGCTTTCGAACTGCTAGGTTGGCAGGAGCTGGGACCAAGCAACGGGAGCTCACCCCATCATGGGGATTTGAACCGCCAACATTCTGATCAGCAAGTCCTAGGCTCTGTGGTTTAACCCACAGCACCACCTGCGTCCCTTAATTCAATGTATATTGCCCCAATTACCCTTGCCGTGCCTCCAGGATAAGGGAACTGGCCAACTGAATGTGTTTTGTTACATACAAAAACTACTTCCTCCACTGCTTATTGTTTCTTTTTAGTTCTTATACAGAATAAGAAATAAGTCATGGAGCCCAGACTTAAATGCTGTCAGCTCCCACCCACCCACCCGCTGGACTAGGGAAGATGCAGAGGTTTTTTTGTTTGGCAGTTGTTTTTAAGTGTATCAAAAACAAAATGCACATTTATTCAGTAGCAAAACCTCCGCTCATTTCCTGCTGTATGCATTTGTACAGGAAATGGTGAAAGGAGTGCAAGAAGACAGCTTTTCTTCACGAGGTTTGCCTCTGAATTCAAAGGGCCGTTCACAATGTGATATTAATGGAGTTATATTTGGTTGATGCAGATCATGGCAACTGGTGTAGTAAGAGATCGAGAATCACATATTTCGATGTGGTTCTGCAAGCGCATAGCTAGAGCAGTGCCTCCTTTTGTGTTGTGCAGGAGAGAAAGCTAAATATGAGATCAGTAAAAGGTAAAGGTACCCCTGCCCGTACGGGCCAGTCTTGACAGACTCTAGGGTTGTGCGCCCATCTCACTCAAGAGGCCGGGGGCCAGCGCTGTCCGGAGACACTTCCGGGTCACGTGGCCAGCGTGACATCGCTGCTCTGGCAAGCCAGAGCTGCACACGGAAACGCCGTTTACCTTCCCTCTAGTAAGCGGTCCCTATTTATCTACTTGCACCCGGAGGTGCTTTCGAACTGCTAGGTTGGCAGGCGCTGGGACCGAGCAGCAGGAGCGCACCCCGCCGCGGGGATTCGAACCACCGACCTTTCGATCGGCAAGCCCTAGGTGCTGAGGCTTTTACCCACAGCGCCACCCGCGTCCCTAACTATGAGATCAATGTTTAGACATTTAAGAAAGGCTTTAAGTGCGGTGTTTGTATTCCTCAGTGTACTGATTTGTTATTTTACTAGTTCTATTGTTACAAGTCACCACACTGAGAATTTTTAATTGATGTTTATCTAAGGGCAGTGTGTGTGAAAGAGAGAGAGGAGACATGTGCCTCAAGGCACATGCAACATTATACAGTTGTATAGGTCCTCTCAAGCCAATATTATAAAGGGTGTCCCAGCATATTTTGTTGCTATGTCCAGGGAGGAAAGTGGTATTCTTGTCACCCACTTTTCTTAAATGGCTAAATGTGTTGTTATTATTATGCGATCAGGAGAGCGCATCCAGGCTTACATAATTTCTTCTCCCTACGTAATTTTTTTTGACCCAATCTGAAACTAGTTTAACTATCCCAATGACTTCTGCGAATTGTTTTGTTTTTGTGAGTTGTGTGTGGGGTTAAATACCAATGTGCTCTAATACAACAAATACTAGTAGGGATTAAATCAAGCAAAATAAAAAGAGATACCATATTTTTCGATAAATGGTCTATGTAGACCTAGCAGGTAAGAACAACTGACTTATTCCATAGGCTGTCACACAAGAATTCTGTGACTAATTCTGCAATCTCTGGTTTTCCGTCTTCTAGAAGTGAACCGGGCAGCTCCAAACTAGGACTTCTGGGCATTCTTCTAAGCAATGGGGCAACAATCTTTGTACGAGCATCTTGATCATAGGGGCAGCGTAAAAGGACATGGTCTATGGACTCTCTCTCTCTCCACCATTACAAGGGCAGAGCCTTTTGACAAAGGGGACTTTTCTGTAGCCCCCCCATTTAAAACCACAAATGGAAAGACAGCACACCTTGCAAGTGTAAAGGCCCTCATAGGACTGTACTTCTATTGTGAGGTTCATTATCTCCTCCAACCCCTGCCACATTATATCTGTATTGCCCTTTACAACTCACAAGGTTCCTTGGCTGAGAAGCACAACACTTAAATTGTGATATAACCAGGGATATTTATAGATTGGTTTTTTTATATGAAGCCCCTGAAATTCTGCTGGAACCTATAATAATTCACCAAAAAACTTCTCCGAAACTGTGTGCTGCTGTACCCCACCCCACTCCTGTGCACTTCCACCCAAATGTGTGCATGCTTTGTTGCCAGAGTTGTGTTTAGAAACGTATGCAAAACTTTACAGCAGTAATTCAGGGAAGTGTTTTATTGAAGCTTTGCACCTGTTCTTTATCAACATGAAGGCTGGTTTGCACATTCCACTATTTTGGTGATGTAATAACTCTCTACTCAGTAACTATCAGGGTGGAAATATTTTTCCCCATTGCTGGTCTGCTTATGTTATTCCCATGCAAGCATCACTATAGAATGAGGTGTTGGATGAGCAATGCTTAGAAAATACCTATCTCCCAGTTATTAAAGAACTGAAAGAGAAATGTGGTTTCCAGTCTTTCTCTGTTAAGTACATCCTGCATGGTTAGCTGAAAATCCTGTCCCTGGAAACAGAGTGTTCCAACCAGGAACATTCATTGTACCAATTATTATTAAAAAGAATTGCTCACTTTCTCCAACCTCGGATCTTGGGAGTTAGGGAGATATGATGGTGCAGGTTGTGTGATGCTAGGTCCTCAAGTTAGTTTGAATTTGGCCTGTTGAATGACCACCTGCCATTCTTGTAGTTGGGAAAATATTAAATAATAATTACAGGCTTTCTTCTGGACTGAGAATATATACTACAGAACAATGTTGGTGAGCTCTAAAATTGAGTGGTAAAGGAAAACCTGCACATGTTTCGTACCGACCCCTTAATAAGAGCCATTTACTGAAAACATGTCACCAGTTTTAATAATTCAGTATGCGCCTTTCTAAATTGGCAATGAGCCCATCTAAAATTTTACAAGTAGAATTCTTAATATTCACAGTGGCAAGGAGGAACTAACAGTGCAATTTCTGTAGCATGTGGAAATGAAATACAAAACTTTCCCCTTTTAATTTTCTGATACACTTCACTATGATCTTTAGCAGTATTTGTTACACTGTTTCCAGGATGTTTATTTGGACTTTAGTGTTTTTAAAAATATGTGCTAGAGCTAAAGATGTCCATTAAAGTTAGGTTAAGTTAGGTTTGGGATGCGGGTGGCGCTGTGGTCTAAACCACAGAGCCTAGGGCTTGCTGATCAGAAGGTCGGCGGTTTGAATCCCCGTGACAGGGTGAGCTCCCGTTGCTCAGTCCCAGCTCCTGCCCACCAACAGTTCGAAAGATGTCAAAGTGCAAGTAGATAAATAAGTACCACTCTGGCGGGAAGGTGAACGGCATTTCCGTGTGCTGCTCTGGTTTCGCCAGAAGCAGCTTAGTCATGCTGGTCACATGACCCAGAAGCTGTCTGCGGACAAACGCCAGCTCCCTCAGCCTATAGAGCGAGATGAGCGCCGTAACCCCAGAGTTGTCCGCGACTGGACCTAATCGTCACAGGTACCTTTACCTTTAAGTTAGGTTTATTGAATTTATGAATTGCTTCCAACAGCAAAAGTCCGAAAGCAATTTACAATAAAACAAACAATTATTTAAAAGGCAAGAATTTCTAATCAAGAAAATTAAGTAACTGGACATTTAAAAGCAGCTTTCGTGTAAATTCTAGTTTCCCTCTTTTTGGCATTCAGCCGGTCTGGTTATCCTTCACTGAAAATAAAACGTAGCCAGTGTCTGTGGATTGTAAAGTAGTTTTCAAATGTTCTCATTAATATAGCCAAAACACGAGGGGAATCCATTCGAGACAATATTAAAAGTGGCCAAGTGACAGAGAGCCCACAATATTAGCACACACTGGAACTGGCATAGATTGACTTTTGGTGCACAATCCTGCTCAAGGAGTGATACAACTGAATGTCTAAGGCCAATCTATACGGAGTTCAAAACACACAGAGCCCAGACCGTAACAACATAGCACAAGGTTAAAATAGTCTGGTTGAAAAATCCCGGCTGCCATGGGCTAACATTGTCTTAATATACAATGTTTTGGTCTGATTCTAAAACCGCCTGCTTCCTTAAGCAAGCGTTTAGAGAAGGTATATTGACTGTTGCATAAGTACAGTGTCAAAACTCATATTATCCCAAGCCTTGTGGGGATGTTATATCTGCATGAAAAAGCTAACGTGCAAAGTCAAGAGAACCTGCAAATGGAATATTATGTCTGCTAGTGACTTGGCTGTTTGTCTTATTCCCTGGCCAGGAAATCCGTCAGTTTCTTCTATATTGCTCTCAATCCAAGCAGAAGGATCCCGCAGCTAATTTGTGGGATCTGAGCTTTTTGTGGATCACTATATTATAACATCTTCTGATGATAAAGCCAAATCAGATAAAGGGTGCTACACATTCTCATTTTACTACTGCAGAGCCCTTGTTTTAAGTTCATGTGCCACTTCAAGGGGGGGGGAAGGGAGAATGGTAAAATGTAAAGTAAATAACACTGTGCAATTGTGAACGGTATCAAATACGCTTCAGTTCCAGGACCCTTAAAATTAATATCATATTAAACAATTAAATTGGATTGAAATGATTCAGGGAACATGAATTGCCTGCCATTAAATTCACTTTCAGAAATTCCGCACAATAAAAAATATGTTGAAATTGGCATTAAGAATGAAATGAGAAGCCTGCACATTTTGATACAAGGTTTCTAAATTATTATTTTTTTAAAAAATTGATCTAGACCCATAAAATAAATGGGAGTTGTAATGGTTGTTGGGGGTTGCTTGTGCGTAAAGGGTGCTACTGTTCTAGGCAACGTAGCCTGGCTAAACCTTTCCCTGGCTGGACAGCCCTTTCTCCATGGCTGTGTCAGTCGCTGGCAGAATCCGTCAGTGGGCGTTTCCTGAACTTCTTCCAACATAGAAACTCTTTGACGCCAAGTTTCCTCCTCGCCTCCCTGCGTGGAAGTCTCCTGCGCAGAGTGGGCGTGCCCAACGGAGGTCCTGTGCTCTCCCCGCTGGTCTCTGTGGAAGAGTCTTGGAGCCCTCTCTTCGCAGTTTCCCCTTGCTTCCTGGTGTCACTCCTATTTCCTTCCTCAAAGGAAGTGTTCTCTCTCCCCCTGCTGGTCCCTTCTCCTGCATCGTTGGGGAGCCTTACCTCCACTCTAGGCTCCGATGGCAGTTCCCTGACAGGAGTTTTGGCATGAAATGACACTTCCCAGACAGTATAGTGATATACTTGCTTTCCAAAGCAGAACGAAAAAATTTCTAGTAAATACGTTGCACTAGAGTGAATAGTATCTTCAGGAACCTCTGGTTATCATTACGTTTTAGGAATAAAAAAGAGCAAGTAGATTGTTCTGCCTAGTTGAACTTGCAACACTCAGTAATCCTAAAGCCAAGCAAATGTGATCTGAGGGGCTCTTAGGCGTGGTATGCTCTGCCACCAAAGAGGCCAGCTGCTAGGACTTTTACACACACTCACACAAACACGTACAACCATGTTCTTCTGGCAATGGGTATGGGAAATGGGGCTTTCCAGGGGAATGTTGGGGGCAGCCAAGCACTAACAGGATCCTAAGTCTCCTCGCTCCCCTCACATGCCTTCAGCTATGCTGCAAATGTAATAGCCAATTTCTTTCCATTGACCACAATTGAGGGGGGGGATAATAATAGAATAAAAATCACCAAAGAGCAAGACCTCCCTACCCTAGGGACTTAGGAAGCCCTTGGGAAGTAGTGGTATGTCTGCTATGTAATCTCACCACCATCCCAGGATTGTGAACTATACATTTGATCCTGTTTAAGTAGGCCAAAAGTTTCATATTTACATGTCCGGTGCTTGAGTAACTTTTACCTAAGGCAGAGCTGCATTGGGAGATAAAAGGTGGGATGAGCCTCCTGTTTCTGGCAATGGGTCAGTGTATTGTGGTTCACTGCATTTGCACCCATATGTGTGCCAGGGAGAGGAGAAAGTGATATTTTGAGTGTTGTACCAGCCATTCCTTGCATGAGCAGCAATACTCACTTGGGACCGGAATTTGCCCATAGTGTTAATGACTTTTCTGAAGGGTCATTATGTAGGTAAAGCGACTTTGTGAGTTCTACAGCAGATGAGTAGCCTGCATCTGTATCAAATGCAATTTTGAATATTGATCAGAACTTACAATACAATTCAGTAGTGAAAGTGGATTTGCTCTTTAGCCTTTTTATATACTGTTGTGCTCATAGGAGCGTGCAAAGGTCTGGGGGGATTCCTCATCCCACCAACAGAGACCCATCTGTGTTAAACGCCCTCAGGAGAGAACCCTCTCTGATCTGCATCATCTGAGGTCCTCAGGTGTGACTACTTGGCTGACTGGCTAAAGCCCTGGAAAATAGCACTCCAGTTACAGAACGAGTCTACATTGCAACATTTTGTTTCAGGCCCAACTTGTTTTATATTTATGTTATTGGCATGATTCCTAATCCTTACCACTTAATATGGTAATTCTGTCCATTTTCATGGGGAATAGTTACGTGCTAATTATTTTATTTATTTGTGTGTGTGTGTGTTTGTTTTAAAAGCATTTGTATACTGCTATTCATTAAAAAAACCCAAAGTGGTTTATAAGTGGTTTACAACAATAGAACAAAAAAGACCCCATACAATAAAAAATATTAAAAAGTTAAAATCAGATGTCAGTTAACTATTATGGAAAGATGTATTGTTAATTTCCTGCATAGGCCTGATGGAATAGAAGAGTTTTCAGCAGGCATTTAAAACTTGGAAGAGAAGGTGCCCTCTATTCTGAAATAGAATTAAATATTTTTATTTACTGGAAACAATTATGAACCTCCATCATTATGAATTTGTTTCCAACTAGGTGGACATGCATGGGAATATTCTGCTAACATCCCTCGAAATTCACAATGAAGTTGCAAGCAATGAGGTCACCACAAGCGTCACCGATCCTCAGAATTCAACAATATCCTTTGACAGCTCAGGTATCCAGTACAGAAAACAGAGTTCGCATCGAGAAAACCTTGGAAGGCGTACATTGGACAGAACTGGCGCCCACACAAAGAAGAGTCATTTACGGAGAAGGTCTTCACAGCTAAAGATAAAAATTCCTGACCTAACGGATGTGAACGCCATAGACAGATGGTCAAGAATGGTGTTTCCTTTCACATTTTCTCTTTTCAACTTAATCTACTGGCTATACTATGTCAACTAAATTGACTTTACTTCTTCTTCTTTTTTTAAAAAAAGACTTCAACAAGTTAAATATTAATTTGCCTGTTATTTTGTATGTGTACATAAGAACTTTTACACTATATACATATATAAATATAAAATATATATAAATATATTTAAAATCCTGTTTATGTGTGTACATATATTGTGAAAGAATGTGTATTATACCCATTGTGCATACACATATGTACTATATATATACACACACACTCTGTACTTTCGGAAGATAACGGACAGTTTAGCAGAATGCGCATTAAGTGATTTTTAAAAAATAAAATAAAAAGTATGGAGAGGCAAGTGCTCTGAAAACTGTAGGTTTTGATAAATCTAAAAGTCATTTAAGACCACCCAAATATTTTTCAGACCTCTGCAATTCCATATTTATCAGAATTATGTGATATTGTTTGTGGAAACTTGACTGCTCATTAACTGGTAGAATTAACACTGGTACGCTTTCTCTAAGTTATATTTCCTAATCATTGAACCAATGAACCTAATCAATATTTTTTATTTTTTATTTTTGCTAATGTTTTGTGTTTTATATTCTAGCAAAGATCAGTTTCCCTATCAAAAAATGGGCATCGTCCTTTTAGCGATCACTTGTTTATTCTCATGTAGCAAGTAAAATCTTGATCAAGAGATCAGTTTGCTTCGCGTTCATAGGATTTGCGATCCTTAAGAAGCTATTGGACGTTGCAAAGCAGCCTCTTCTTATGTGATACAGTGCATTATATAATGTTTTAATTTAATATTCCAATTACAGTATAGGATTATTTTGAGGAGAGAATCCCTACAGCATAATGTTACTGGAATGTTGTTTGAAATGCAACTGCTGCTAACATATTTAGGATCTATTCTGATCTATACAGGGTTATCAAATCTTCTCCTTTGCAGGGGTACTATAATCTGAGGAGATTATTTCTGAGGAAAATTTTAGCACAAACATTGCTCCACGTTCTGCTGTACCTGCTTCCCCTTTGCAAATCTTCTCCATGTTACAGTGGAGCAGCCAGGCAGAACAAATCAGTTCCACAAAAGAATAGATAAGGTTTATATATATATATATATATATATATATATATATAAAGCTTCTCTGTGCCACAGAGCTTTTCAAATTTCCAGAATGCCAGGCAATGGAGGATATGATAATCTTAGTCCATTGTTTCTTTAATTATTAGTATTCCAATGATAAACTAGAAGACACCTCAGGTTAAAAACGAAAAGGGAAAACCATGCATTTACATTACCAAACATTCTTAGAACATGATTAATGTAAGATATATTTGCATAATATGCATATATATGAATAATTTACCCAATTTTCTTTCTAGTGCTTGCTACTGTGACTGCATGCTATATCATACTTTTGTTTCTGTGATGTTACAGCTTTCTCTTCTCTAGAATTAAACCAATATAGCACTTCTAATGTATAAATTCAATAACAGAACATTTTCACATCTATTTTGTACATATATATGTATATACACACTAAAACCGCTAGTATAGCTGATATGCTACATTCACAAACCATAAATAATGGAGAACAAATGTCTTGCTTCAGCATTAAATGCATTCAGTCATTTTCCTTATGCAAAATGTTCCACTTTTGTTTTCCTGTAGTTAGAATGCATTCATATCAGTGCTGTTAACTTAGCATACATGAGATGAATGAATATCAAAAGGAGTTTAGAGAAAACTGGATGAGCAGGAATTTGGAAGGTAAAGTTGTAGGTGCAATTCACCAGTTGTATTCCCCATTCATTTCATTATGGCAACTTCCACTAGTTGGGTTGCAATGGAAACATTTTGTAGCTTTCATTATATGGAAGCAACCTCTGATTCACCTGCCATACCACTAAAGGGCCACTTTCCATGTTACAGGAATGCCTTTTGCATGTCACTCCCACATAAAATAATATACTATAGAAAAGGGTTTTATGTTGAGACTGAGCTAAAACCAGTCATACCTGGTTTCATTTTCACATGTTGGAGAACACCGTATATGGGAGGGGAGAAATGGTATTTCATATAACTGGCCTAGTGATTTGGAAAAAAAAGTTTTACCTTGATACGAAAACAGAAACCTGCAGAATTATATTTAGTCTCAGCTGATACCACACCTGCTATTGAGACAACATGCAGTGCTATTTTTCTAGAAAAAGAGGTGCCGGAACTCACCGTGAATGTCTCCCTTGTTCTCTTAGAATGGCAATGGTGCCCACCTGAGAGGTGCCGGAATTGACTTCCGGTGAGTTCTGGCTGGAAAAAAACCTTGGATATATGCCAGGAATCCAGGGCAGCTTGCTAGAGACCATGGCTTTCTTGGAAGAATACGTATTAACTAAAATCATGCCAAAATTATTTTTAGTGGACTGGTTCATTTTATTGCCTAACGGAAGCTACCATTGAAATTATAATATGAGCCTTTAAATCAAAATAGGAATCAAAATTTCAGTACAGCCGTAGTGTTAAAATAATAATAATAATAATAATAATAATAATAATAATAATAATAATAATAATAGAATGTGGAGGCTTATACTGAAGTTCATAAACTTATGAAAGATGGGAAGGGTTGTCTTTTTCGTTTTTTCGTTTTTTGCTATGAATGTAAATAAAGATAATTTTGTGTGAGGGTATCTCGATTGGTCTATAACGCTGAGATCAAAAGTAACGAGCAAGGAATGACAGCAACCCGTAATGACTTCAGGCTTCAACAACAATTTAGACAATGTTATTCACAAACTAATTGAGATGAACTATATATCTGTAACATTTAATCTGAATCCTAAACATATTAAGCTGAAACAGATCTATAGAACCTACCATATTTTTCCATGTATAAGATGATGTTTTTGTAGTATTTAAAAATGCTAAAAATTTGGGGTCCTCTTATACAAGGATAGTGCTGAGGGGGGACGGGCAATTGGTGGCATCCACGAGCAGGAGATTGTCAGCGGTGATTGGGTGGGTGATTGGTGGCTGAGGCAAGGCCTGCTGTCGATTTGCTGCTGCTGTGTCAATTAGGTGGGTGATTGGTGGCTGCAGCAAGGCTTGGTGGCGATTGGCTGCTGCTGCTGCAGCAATTGGGCAGGTGATTGGTTGCTGGGCAATCTCCCCCTATTTCCTTAATTTGGGGTCCCAAAAAGTAGGGGTCGTCTTATACACGGGGGCATGTTATACACGGAAAAATATGGTACTCTGTTTGTGTGTGTTAGGATTACAGTGGTACCTCGGATTAAGAACTTAATTCGTTCCGGAGGTCCATTCTTAACCTGAAACTGTTCTTAACCTGAGGTACCACTTTAGCTAATGGGGCCTCCCGCTGCCGCCACACCGCTGGTGTGCAATTCCTGTTCTCATCCTGAGGTAAAGTTCTTAACCCAAGGTACTACTTCTGGGTTAGCGGAGTCTGTAACCTGAAGCGTTTGTAACCCAAAGCATTTGTAACCCGAGGTACCACTATACAGCCTTACTAAGCAATCCAAGCCTGCCTTTGCAACAAGCAGGGGCAGGGGCACTTATATTAGATGGAGTTACCCCTCTGCTCAACCCTGGTGGCCTCTGCCTGCAGAGTGACAACCACCTTCCTCCACTGGTGTGGAGCTCTACTTCCACCTGCTAGACAGTAAGTAGGAACCCTCAAAACGGGGCGTTCCGGAGACAGGGGAGGCAGAACCAGCCTGGGATCTGCTGGATCCTAAGCCAATCCTACTGCTATCACATGGGCCCAAATTGGACCTGATTGTTATGCCAGCTCCAGGCTGGTGCAGCTACATGCCTCTTTTGCTCTTCTACCCTAGCCATTATGGGCTGTACATGCTGTGGTGTCTCCACCTAGCTATGGCTGGAATTAGCAGCCTTAGCGACTCTAGTGAGATCAAGAAAATTGAAATACAGCTGCAACAGCTCTGGTGGGTGAGGAACTGCTACCAGAATGAGCCTGCCGAGGAGGCAAGAGTGCAATCCCAAGGCTCATACAATGCTACAGAGCTTCACATGTAGCAAAACATTTGAGGGTTTTCTAGGGAAGCCCAGTAGAGAATTTGGATGGGACTAGTGAAATTTCTTGAAAGGTTTTCCTGTTCCTGAACTCAGGCTGCTACTCGAGCAAATTTAGCCATGTCTTTTATAGCTTTTTACATAAAATTGTTATAAATCATTTGCAGGCCAACAAAACATGTTTGTTATGAAAGGCACTGGAAAGAACATAATAAACATCATGCTGGATCCGGCCAAACACCCATCTAGTCCATCATTTTGCTCTCATGTTGGCAAGCCACATGCCTCTAAAAAAAAGCCCTAAAGTAAGAGCTGAATGCAGCAGGGCTCTTCCCATTCGTGATTCCCAGCAGCTGGTATTCAAAAGCATTACTTCCTCCAATAGTGGAGAGAGAATGTAGCCGTGATGACTGGTAGCCATTGATAGCCTTATTCTCCACGAATTTCTCTAATCCTCTTTCAGAGCCGTTCAAGTTAGTCCTTATCATTGCCATTGAAACAGTGTGCATAGTAAAAACAAAAAACAAAATCAAACACAGGGACACTAGCTTTAGGAACAATAGCATCAAATCAACAAACCCTAAAACAACAAAACAGTGCAAACTCTTAAAAACAACGGAACGGTCTCATCAGAAAATTGATGGGTATCATCAGCATTTAGCACTTTCTCTAAATGCTCAAAGCTATGCATCACCCCACTAATTTTTCTAATGCCATTTGTAATAAAGGCCAGGATTACAGATTACATTTTTAGTGCTGTGCTGAATGATCACCTAGTTTAATTTTCAATGTCATAAGTGGTCTTTCAAGGGATATAAGCAGTCTTTAAAAATAAAAATCCATGCAGTACTGATCTATCACATATTTGGTATAAGAGCCTTGTTGGATCACCCAAAAGCCTATCTAGTACAGTGGTACCTCTGGTTACGTACTTAATTCGTTCCGGAGGTCCGTTCTTAACCTGAAACTGTTCTCAACCTGAAGCACCACTTTAGCTAATGGGGCCTCCTGCTGCTGCCACGCCACCGGAGCATGATTTCTGTTCTCATCCTGAAGCAAAGTTCTTAACCTATTTCTGCGTTATCGGAGTCTGTAACCTGAAGCGTCTGTAACCTGAAGCGTATGTAACCCGAGGTACCACTGTATAGCATGGTGTTTCCACAGTGACCAACCATATGCCTATGGGAAGCCTAGCTCAATGGTACTCTGCTGCTTGTGAATCCCAATTGATATTGGAAATTAGTCACTGATAGCAGTATCCTCCATAAATCCCCTTTAAAGCTATCTAAATAGGTCCTTCACCAACCAGAAGATTTGGGTCAGACCCTGGTTCAGTACTTTTGAGTAACAGCTCACCTCTGTCCAATACACTTGCACATTGGATTTTTGTTTTGTTTTGTTTTGTTTTGTTTAAAAAAGGAAGAGGAACATTTTTATTAGGGGACAGAATTGGATGAAATTTGCAGGCAGAATAAACCATTCTGAAGGCCTGATTCCTGACACATTTCAGAATGATAACTGCAGTAGTCTTCTGGTAAAGGCAACTGCTACTTAATAACTTAATCTCCCCTGCTGATTTGTAGTCAACTGATCTGAAAATTGGAGAAATGAAAGTGGCGCCCCAGGTTAAGAAAGAGTTCAAGGGACTCTTGTGCTAGGCACAACTGAAGTTGTTTTGGAGTACAAAGAGCTAAATGGCATTCACTTTCTATGTAAAATAATTCCCCCTGATTACAAGCTTGACCAGCCAGTCCCAGTGGAGTTCTCTGCCCCCTCCCCTTCCTATCCTGATTTATTCCTTAAGCTTAAAGACATAAACTGCTCTTGCAAAGCTGACCCTTTCCCCAAAAAACCTGGCTGGGCCAGCCCACCCTTGAGGCAAGGTGAGCCAACCAGCTCAGGCAGCAGATCCACAGGGTCAACAGATCCTGATGTAGATCTTTATCCCCCTTCTGGTCTAGCTCTTTCCTCTCCCCTTCTTTCCTGGTGGGGAGTGAGGTGCCATTTTATGGTTCGGCTCAGGTGCCAAAATGTCTTGGGGTGGCCCTGAAAGCTGGGATTGGGGAGCACTGATAAAACCATTTCTCTGACTGCAAGCTAGAAGTGTCAGTAAAAAGCTTTCCTGCCCTCTCCTGATCCTGGTGTTTGCTTTCAGCTAGTCATAAGTTTTGATTTGGCAAAGCTGCTGCCTCTTCCCCCTTGCATTTTCCTTCTACAGGAAGCTTAGAGACATAGCTTTGCATTTTGTGGAAGCTGGCCTGCACCATTTCTTTAATGTCTGGGTCACTGCAGCACCACAAAGTTCTTCTGTCCAGTCTTGAACAGATCTTACTTTGCCTCAGATTGGTTGAGACCGAATCCATTCAAAGCATCGCACCTCCGTTTGGGGTTCATCCAGATCTGGCACGCACCAGATCTGGCAGGGAATTCTCTCTCGTGACTCTTCTAGCATACAACTTCATCGGACAGCCTAACTATAATGAGATGAGGAGAAAATCTTATTTCTATGCACTTCTTACACACCATGCATAATTTTAAATACTCTATCATGTTCCCACTTACTTGCCTTTTTTAAAAAAAAAA